TTTTTCTTTTTTTTTTTGGGGGGGGGGTAGGGAGTGAAGGACCTACGTTGGCTGTTACAGGTGGGCAGGGATGGGATAGTGCCTACACACTACACACTAATAGGCAAACATTCACTCCAGTGGTAATGATAACTATATCTACATTTACCCATTGTGCTTTGAGTGTTCCAGTAAGGCGTGCCACTGTTGAATGTGGCAGGGGCTGCTTAGAGAAGGTAAAAACAAAGCATGTTCTCAGGCTGGTTCTCCTAAATTACCCCCCCCCTCCACTTTAACAAATTAATAGAACTGATGAAATGATACTCAAACAGTACATAATACATGACCAATAAAATTTGAGTTTGTCATAACATTTATAAGCTGTCTGCTTTCTTCCACAAGGAATAACTAGTCAAGATCTCCAATGAAGGCAATCCATTCAATGAAACATTACAACAACTGCAGCAAACCAGCATTTATCACTAAATAACATTGGACAAAAAGACGAGAGCCCAGCTGTTTTGGGGCATAGAGTTATTGCTATCATCTAAATGCTTGTTCACAACAGTAGAATCAGGTGCTGATCAGTTTTGGGGCATAAGGAAAAGTTCATATAATTTTAAATCTGATTAATTTGTCTTGCTCTTGATGAAACAAATATTCATCGGTCCTGAATAGAAGTCGAGATATTTGAGACTAAAGGGGGTAGGGTTGCTTGGTGTCAGAAGTAAAATAAGTTGAAAAATGGCTGTCAAAGTTTTGTGACTTCCAAAACTCGAGTCTCGCTGGAAGCTACAAATTTACATTTTTTGGTGCTTTTCATCAATGTTTGTGTATAAAATCAAAGCAGACATATGTTTTTGAATGGACATAAAAAGCATTGACTCCCTCCCCCCCAAAAATGGAGAAAAATAGCCCAATGGATGGAAAAATGACAGGTTTTTTTTATTCAATTAGTTTGACGAGCATCTGATTTCACCATCATGCCTTACATGTGGCTTTGAGCCAGAAGGCACGTGACTCTGTAGTAATGTTTAAAAAAGAAAAAGCTTCGCCTTTATTGCTGTATCGTTATGGATATAGAAGGAGATTGATCACTGTGATTGGACAATATTAAGTTGCAATAATATTTACAAAGAGGGTCAATGCCTCATGATACCAAAGAAAAAAAGCAAAAAAAGTGCAGTCGGGAAATTTTGTCATCCTTCCTTAAAATATCTATTATTCACTGCCATATAAGATAAAGCAATCTGCAAAAAATAATCTGAAACAAAACAAAAATACCTTTCACCCATAAATACTCTTTCTATTAACACAATTCTTTCCCCCACATGTATTGAACCCTCCGACCCCTAATGTAACTGATTTGAAGGAGGGTATTAGCATGTCTTTAAGATTTGCTTCTCTGTCTAATGAAAAGAGAAACACTCAAACATAATAGAATCAGAAAAAGGTTTTGTGGGGAACCATGTATCAATACACTCCTTTCAACACAGATAGGTTCCAAATGCAAAAGAACGGAGCTAATTTTCAGGAGCCTCTAATACTCCTTTAGACAGAAACCCTAAGGATTGCAGTGGGGACCAAACCCTGAACCTCTGGATCACAAGGTGAAGGTCTAAACCACTACACCAAGCTGACCTCAGAGGCCATTTACGGTACAGAAAATGGAGGACGATAGACAGAAAAAGAGAGGCACAGGAATGACATACAACCTGCTGCAGTACCGGCCCACAGCTTCAATAGGCTTTCCAAAATACAGTCAAACCTCATTGTACCGCACCCCCAATGTACCTCCATCCCCGCTGTACCCCCAACTTCATGTTCGTTCTAAGGTAGGCGGTATAACAAGGTTGGACTGTATACACACAGAAAAATAAATGACTGTTCCCAAGGTGGGACTTACATTTGTCTTGATAATAGTTGTGATGAGAGCTCCTCCGAGGGGTTCCCGGGCTGTGTTTGTGGCCAGCACTTTTGGGAGGGGTCGGTGAGTACCTGTCTTCATCGCTGACAAAGTCATCGCTGTACCTATCCTGAGAGTCTTCGTCTGAGTACGCACGGCGGTTTGCCATTGTGGCAACGTTGATGGGTGTAGGCTCTACGATGCAAGCAGAATATCCAATAAATAAATAAATACAGTCAGTTCATGAAGAGCACCCACTTAGAGCAAAGAGATGTGTCCTATTTTGTTGGCAACATCTGCTTACTTCAGGCTATGAGAGTCATGCCCTGAGAAATTCCACAAGATCTAAAGAAGAAAAACAAAAGAATTGGATTTTAAATATAGATGAATAATGATCAGGTATTCATTAAAAGGTAAAAAAGGTGGGACAACATTGGTCTTCACTTAAGATAAAATGCTTGCATGGTCAAACCATTAAATCTGATAATAATCTTTCTTATAATAAATATTTAAAGAACAGGAATGGAATATAAGATGACATGCATTTTTATAAGATATTTTCAAAACTTCACTCCTTAAAATTTTGTTTTTACTGAATATTTCCAAGATTTACAGGAACAAAACAAAAATGAAAAAAATAATAATTCATTGCTTATATTCCTTTAAGAAAGAAAAAAGATTTGAGAGGATCTCTAAGTACAAATATATATGTCAATGTCTGTTCACTTGGCAGAAGGACGGAGGAGGAATCAAAGACAGAATGTTGTCATGATGAAATGAGTTTTCAGAGTTTATTTTTACTTTTAGTAAGAGTTTTACGGCACTAGCAACACAAAATTAGATGTAAGTGCCGATTTCATAGATTCAGCTATCCAACAATACATTACTGACAATTTAAATGCTTAGGAGGAAATTTAACAATCTTGGGTTGGATATATATATATCAGTCACATACCCATGTGGACTCCAAGCTAAGGTCTGTATGACATTAAGCACGGTGTGTATCAACACATTTCAAAAGAGGATTCAAGAGCAATCAAGTACCATAAACTAAAGTATCTCCCGTGCCTTGGATAACCGAAAGCAATCAGAACTTTAAAATATTTAATGCACAAGGCTGGTTTCTTCCCCCACCCACTTTTTGCCTCTCTCTTTATGTTACTGGGTCCTTTGTGGAGGATGTGAATGACAGTTGAACTCAGGATTCAATGAAGTCGTTGAGCCTGACCTTCAATTTATTTAAATCCAAGAGTTTGTTAATAAAAATAGCAACCAAGGTTTTTATGCAGATAAGCACAGGCACCGAGCAAGTAATGTATAATGTATTTCACTTCTTCAATCAAAAGTACAGTCGAACCTGTGTAAGACGGCCACCCATTGTCAAGGAGAAAAGTGGCCGTATAAGACAGGTGGCCGTCTTAGGCAGGACTGATCAAGATGAAGAAAACAAACCATCCCTTTCTAAGAAAACAAATCCTCCCTTTCTGAGGTCCCAACCGAAGGTAGTTGCATTGTTGTTGTTGTTATTTTTGTTGTTGTTGTTTTCGCTGGGTTTTCTTTTCTTTTGTTGCTGCTTTTGTGCGAGGGTGACAATAAAACGAAAGGTGTCAGACAAGGAGGACCAAGTGCTATGGTAAAACAAACACACGTACTACCACTCGGAGAACAAGCAACGCTTCTGTCACAAGTTCATGC